AATACGAAGGGATCCTTATCTGTGTCACAAAGCTGCAGACGATTGCTGCCCCACGATGCCAGTTGATGCAAAATGCCCTTCACATCTCAAAATGACTGCTTTTGTCCCTGGAAGGTTGGACTTGAGAAAACCACACTTTCCTTCCAGACGGTGTGAAGGAGGGGATCAGGGCCACATGTGGCTGTGGCCATGAAGCGGGCACCGTGAAAGCGGGCGGCGGTCGCTCCTGCGGGACCCTCACACCAAACGGGGCTCGTGGTGGACCGGCCAGGACGGGCCACGGCCTGTGGCTTTCATTCCCTCCGTGGTGGTTCTTACCCCCACTGGCCAGGGAAGGAAACCAAGATGCAGAGAGGTTACGTGGCCTGGCCACGGTCACGTAACCAGCAGCTGCAGACCTCGGCCACGTAGGCTTCCGCCTCCACACAGATATTTCTGGCTGTCCTTACCTTTTTTATCAGATGTCAACATGGGCTGCTGTCCACGAAACCGGATCCCTTCCATGGGGCGCAGCAAAGAGGCCCTTCCTCCTGCGTGGGCCGTGGAATCGGCCTTCCCCACTCACCCACTCTATCCACCTTGTCAGCAGGGGCGTCCGGCATACCGTGGGCCGGGCTTAGAGCGCTGCGACCGCCGGCCTTTACCTCGGGCCGTCACACTGCGGCCGGGTCAGAGGGCGGGACCACAGAGGCGGACCAGAACGGGTGTGTAAGTCCCTAACCGAACAACCGTGGCCTCTGATAAATGCAGGAAGGAAGTGTAGTCTGGATGGGGATGGACAGGACCAGCTCTCTGTGGTTGGGGGCTTCATCAAGGAAGGCTTGCTTCCTGCGGACGGGTCTGCATGGGTGCAGGCCCTGGGGTGGAAGGAGCGTGCCAGAGCCTGGGCCTGACCCCAGCCCTGCCTGCACCCCTTGTGCTCAGCTGCCCTTGGAGAGCGGCCTGGGATGGGGGTGGGTAGCTGTGACCCGCCCCTTCAGGGCCCCGAGCGCTTGGTCAGGAATGTGGGTTCGCTTTAACGCGGTGGCAAGTCCCGGGAGTGTTTGAATTCAGCAGGGGACTGTAGCGACCTGGTTTATATTCTTTCAACGATTTTTCCTGTTGCTGTGAATCCTTTGGGCGGAGACCGTTTTTGCCTTCTAGGCCAGGGGTGGTGGCTGCCTGGGTCAGAGCAATGGGTGGCTGATCACACACTCCAGCAGCAGGACGCGCGGGTGGGCGGGATGCGGGGCGCCGGCAGCAGAGGAACCTGTGGTGGTTTTGGTGTCGGGGGGGGGGGGGGGGGCGGGCGGGGAGGAGCAAAACGGGAGAGGACAGTGAGGCATCTGGAGTTTCAGCCTGGACACGTGTGTTGTAAGATGCTCTGGTTCAAGTGGAAATGACAAATTGATGAGGCCCCGGGGTTCAGGCCGCCTCCGGTACCCGGCTCGCCCACAGTCTGCTCCCCCTGCCCAGCACACCTGTATGGAAACTGAGCACGGCGCCGTGTGTAGAGGTGAGGGAGCCAGGAGGGGAAGCTGTGCGGCCACCCCTCAGGTCCCCCCGGTGCTCACTGGCTTTAGGAACAGCCCCAGGCCCTCCCCACACACCACCTGTAGTGATTCCCCCTAAAGCGGGAGCACGATCCGCGGTGCTCACAGCCCTTCTCGCCTCGCTGCAGGGAGTCCGGGCTCTGCCCCCCAGTGCCTGCAGCCAGCCTTCTCTCTTGCACAGTCCGCTAAACTCAGGGCCTTTGCGGGAGATGTTCTCAGTGCCTAAGATCTTCTGTAACCTCTTGGCCGCCACCCCTTTGCAGCCGCCAGTCTCGAGAGCCGTCTCACGCAGCTCGTCCATCCCCCCCGCCCCCACTCCCAGGATCTGGACTCTGGGTCCCTCTTGTGAGCACCGGCCTCCCCCGAGCCTGACATCACTGGTCACTGTCTGCTGCCTGCTCCTGTCCCTATACCGAGAACTTCCTGGGGAGAGAGCACTGGGTCTTACTCCTCTCTTCCTAGGATCCATACGACACCCGTGAGTGTTCTCGGAATAAGCGGTTTCTGCTAACTGCCCTTGCGTTACAGTCCACCCCCTGAACAGGACATCTGCTTTTGTAGATGTCGCTCCTGGAAAGAGGGGGTCGGTTTCTACCTTGGGGTAGTGGTTCGGGGTGGGGGGGAATCTCTTCAGGGAATCTGAGCATCACTGGACCATGCTTAATGCTACCCTGGGCCCGTGGGCCTGCTGTGGCATCCTGGGATTGAGGGAGCAGGTGATCCCCGGGGGGCTGAAGGAACCAGGTGGGCGATGGTTGAACCAAGCCCTGAAGAGTGACTTGGTGACATGGTGGGGCGGGGAGCAGGGGAGAGCACCGGCCTCCCCCGGCCGGGAGATGACTGTATGAGTTAATAGCCTGGTCATGCGTCATCACGCAGAGCCCTGTCTCCCTTCGGCAGACCCGAAGGTAAATGCGGGCACTACAGGTCCTTCCTACCACCCTGCCCCCACCCCCACCCCCACTTCCATGCCGCCTTTGCGGTTTTTTTCCCTTCAGAATTCCTTCTGGCTGTGCATTGTAACCCTACATAGCCCACCATGAAATGTGTGCGTGCCGGAGGTAGCGGGAGCTCAGGGGGGGTTTGAGGACCATGCACCTGGTTTAAGCCGTGTGTATGCACTGTGTGCAGGACGGCCACATCCCTTCTTGTCCACTCGCGAGAGCAGAAGTGGCGCGTTAATAATTACAGCAGCAGCAGGTGCTCTCAGACTGGTGCTGGGCCAGGTGGGAAGACGGTCGCCCCAACGATAAGGCGCTTACAAGTGAGTGACCTTGGGCTGGATCCCTATACTTCTGAGCTTCTGTTTCCTTCCCTGCAAAAGGGGACGAGGCTTCACGAGGATGTTGTAAGGATCACGTGGGGTAATAGCCGGAGAAGCTCCTGTGAATGAATCAAATGTAAGAGAGTCTTGTCTTGGCTGGGGGTGCTGCCCACCCCCAGAGCCATATTACTAAATAGCCCTATTATAAGGTTGGCGATATGGGTTGAATCTACTGAATAGCATCTTGTCCCTCCCTCCTTCCCTCCATCCCTTCCCAGGGACTGGCCTGTGCCAACACTTTCCAATACGAAGAATCAGAACAGCTGTGACAGGCAGTGGAGGATGCTTGTAAATCCAAACTAAACAGATAAGAGGGAGCCAGCTACTTCCCCGTTTCTTCATTAAACAGTTGGCCAGGGCAGAGTTTGCTGGGAGGATTCATTGCGAAATAGCCCGGGAGGCGAAATTGCTTTAAAGATAACTTTTGGAAGAGAAAATTTCATTCTGCTCACTCAGCATGATGTAGCAATTAAAATGCTGGTTTTTCTCCTCTTTGAGAGCTACCCCTGAATAATTTATGGCTTCACCCACCGGAGGGTGCAAGGCTTTGCTGCAATAAGAGGATTTCCACTAAAGAGTGGGTGTGGGGCTGTAGGCCGCAGGCCGCTCTTACTCACCGGGGCCCCGCTGTCTCCTGGCCTCGCTGTCCCTGCAGCCAGGGCCACCTGCTCCGAGAGCAGTTAGGTGCCAGTGGCACCAGGACTGCCTGGTGCCCTTCCAGTAACTGGTTGGTGACAGTGAGTATGGTGGTCACTTCACTCTCCGGGCTTCAGGGTTTTTTTCTCCAACATGAGAGCAATTGAGCATTCCAGAGCCCAGAGCCCAGGGCAGTGGATTTCTGCTGATAACATCTCAGTAAAGGTCTCTAGGTTTTCACAACAGCCTTGCGAAGCAGGTGTTCCGCTTTCCTCGTGGGAAAGAGGGAATTTATCCAAGACTGTGCATTTAGCTAGATGTAAATTCAGGGTTTCACCTCCCCACTCTACCCGATCTGAAACCTGGGCGGTTGGGTGTACATTGTCCTATTTTGCTGCGAAAAAAACGTGTTTTTCAGAGACTGCCTAAATCAGTAGTAGAGAAGGTTTAGGGGCGGTGGTTAAAATTCTGAAGAGCGTGCCCGGCTTTGATTAGAAATTGCAAAGCTGGTCTCCTCAGGGGGCACTTGGCTGGCTCCGTCAGTCGGTGGACTCGGGGTCTCCGGTCGTGAGTTCAAGCCCCAAAGTTGGGTGTAGAGATTACTTAAAAAAATTTTTTTTAAATAAAAAAAGCTGGTCTCCTACAAACCTCTACATCCTGTTAGCCTGACTTAAGACACTGGGATTGGAAGCCGTATCTCTTACGGGTGGATGTGTATGTAGTTCAGAACGCTGTCCCTGCATTAGTCAAAACTGTGAGATTTTTTTTTTTAATTTTCTCTTTTTAATGTTTATTTATTTTTGAGAGAGACGGAGACAGAATGCGAGTGGGTTGGGGCAGAGAGGGAAGGAGGCACAGAATCCGGAGCAGGCTCCAGGCTATGAGCTGTCAGCACAGAGCCTGACGCCGGGCTCGAACTCGGGAGCTGTGAGATCATGACCTGAGCGGAAGTTGGACGCTCAACCGACTGAGCCACCCAGGCGCCCCAAAACTGTGAGCTCTTTATTACATTGGTGAAATTATCTGAACAAGCCCCTTCAGATGTATTCACCAATAAATTCCAAATTGCCACGTGGAGAGCACCAGGAAATAAACATTGCAGCCTCTCCTGGGTGGAAATTTTCAGGCCCCGAGGGGTGAAAGCATTCTTACTTACAGAAGTCAACTTACAAGAAAGCGAAACGAAAGGCAGAAAGCCACGGCGGAGCTCCTGTGTTAAGTTCAGTGTGACCTTGCGTGGGTCTTTTCCCACGGCTCGCGCGTCCCTTTCTCTGAATTTGCTGGACAGGGAAGAACGCGGGGCCTGGGGTGCGCGGTGGAGGGAGGACCTGCAGGTGCGGGGCCCGGGCGGCAGGGCGCGCGCGTGCCGCTGTCCAGGGAAGGGGACCGAAGTTCATGGCGGGGGGGGAGGGGCTCGGGCCAGCCAGCTGCGCTGGGAGGGGGCGGGGGCAGGGTGCACCCTGCGGTGGTGGTTGCGGCAATGAACCCCCGGCCTGCCTTCGTTTTAGGTCCAACCCGAAAGATGCCCCCCAGCGCCAGTGCCATGGACTTCTTCCAGCTCTTTGTCCCCGACAACGTGCTCAAGAACATGGTGGTGCAGACGAACATGTACGCCAAGAAGTTCCAGGAGCGCTTCGGCAGCGACGGCGCCTGGGCCGAGGTGACGCTGACGGAGATGAAGGCGTTCCTGGGCTACATGATCTCCACCAGCATCTCCCACTGCGAGTCGGTCCTCAGCATCTGGAGCGGCGGCTTCTACAGCAACAGGAGCCTCGCCCTGGTCATGAGCCAGGCTCGCTTCGAGAAGATCCTCAAGTACTTCCACGTGGTGGCCTTCCGCTCCAGCCAGACCACGCACGGCCTCTACAAGGTCCAGCCCTTCCTCGACTCCCTGCAGAACGGCTTCGACTCTGCCTTCAGGCCTTCCCAAACCCAGGTGAGATCGGCCGCGGGGGTGCCCCGGGACCGCCCCCTGCCCCCTGTCCTGCCTTCTCCCGCCCTCCCCGGAGTGCGGGGGAGCGATGGACTCACGGCCCAAGCCGCAGGGACCCCAGAGAGCGGGGTTCTGCCGCTGCCTGCCCCTCTTCCCGTACCCCCCTCCCCGTAATGGCGCTTTCTTTCCAAATTGCGTGTTTTCCAGGCTCGGACGTTTCTCATATATATATTTTTAAGTTTATTTCTTTTGAGAGAAAGAAAGCACGAGTTGGAGAGGGGGCAGAGAGAGAGAGAGAGAGAATCCCAAGCAGGCTTCACACTGTCAGCACAGGGCCCAGCGCAGGGCTTGAACCCGCAAACCGCGAGATCACGGCCTGAGCGGAAGTCGGATGTTTAACAACTGAGCCACCTGGGTGCCCCAATATTCTTAGATTAAGAAGAACCTCTGATGGGTCACTTTCCCGTGTTCTCTGAGTAGGGATGTACTCCCGGGTTGGTGGTGGAAAGGGCCGAAGCCTCGTAGGTGGCAGAGGGAAGGAGGCCAGGAGGCCGGATCTCAGTCGCCCTGCAGGTAACCCAGAGTCACTCAGGTGGGGGGCGGGGGTCCACCTGGCACACTGTCACCAGCGGGGCCTCTGGACCAGGGTTCCATAGAGCCCCAGGTCTGTTAGGGCCCCCCTGACACCACCCCAACTTCCCTAACTGGTTCTAGAAGGCTCTGTGTGCCCTCAGCTCCTGAGCGGCTGCCTTCTGGTGTCGACCTGTGGCCAGTACACTTGGCTGTGGTGAGAGAGGCGTTCTGGAATCGTCCTCCAAACTGCTCTGCTGGCCTCGCAAACTGGGGAGGCAGCTCATTCCTGAGCCCAAAACTTTAGGACGTGTTCGGCCCACGTGAGCCCAGTTCCTTTTGGCCTGTGCAGTGTGGAAACCAAAGTTGACGTCATTTTTATTTATGCGTTTGAGTAGCCATCCATCTACCCACTCTTCCTCGTGCGTTTCCTCCAAGGGCCTTCTTCATAAACCTCAAATTCTTTTCGATGTTCTCTCTTTGCCTGTCTCCGTAGCTTGCCTTTTTCTCTGTGCGGCTGAAAATCACAGGGTTTTTGTGGGGGAAGATCTCACTCTATTTCAGGTCTGTGGGAGCCTTAAAACAATTTCTGGAAGCGTTCCCCCTGCTGTGCTGTGAATGTGCTGGGCTCGTTATGATTTCCAGGTGTTTGTGATGCTCTTTCTGACGCCGAGAAAGCTCTTCCCTCTTCTCTCTGCCTTAGCACTTACCGAGTCTCCTGGGCCCGGTGCAGGGCCAACCCCCCCCCCCCCCCCACTATTTATAGGGCAGCCGAGTGCCAGTCTTTCTTGTCCCCAGTTGTGTCTCTGACCTTCTAAACAGGAGGTGGGATCCTTTGGGGACGCTGGCCCTGCCCTCAACAGGCCCTGCAGGACCAAATACAGGGCCGGGCACATTCGTTTTTGCTGCGCTAAATATTTGCTTGGTTGAAAATGAACCAAACTGGGGCCCTTCCGGCTGGATGCAAGGGGTAAAATACAGTATTCTGACCATCCTTGGGGCCAGACATTCGAAGAGCCCCTGGAGGAAGCTGTGGGCTGAGTATCTCTCAAGAACCAAACAGCCGGCTGCTTGGATGATTGCTATTTAACAGCTGCAAGATAAGGTTGCTGAAGATCCTTCTAGTCCCGGGACCAGGCCAGCCTTAGCCAGGGTTATATTCATGTGTGTTGTGTGCTGCTGTGAACCGGCCTCGTGCTGTCTGCCTTCTGAAACTGCGGGATCGGATACCCTGAGACCTGTGCCCAGGGCGGTCACCATGTGCGCATGCGTCTCTGGAGCCCGGGGTGCCTTGGGGCACACTGTGGCGCCCGCTAGCCAATTCTGAGATTATAGGCCTGTCCCTTCCCGGCCAATTCTGAGATTATAGGCCTGTCCCTTCCCGGCCAATTCTGAGATTATAGGCCTGTCCCTTCCCAGCCCAGGCATGGGTGCCCTGAGGGGGCCTGGCACCTTCCCGAGCCAGCAGTGGCTGGACGGCAACCCGCGCGGGCAGCTCGGCCTTCCTCCCTTGCGTGGTTCAGGTGCGCAGCCAGGAGACCAGGACCACTGAGAGCCCGGGGACGACGTTCGCTTTATTCTTGCCCCCACGTCTGTTCTTTGTTTCCGGGTTGGCGAGGCCGAGAGAAAGAAGAGAGTCCCAAGATAAGTCTTCCTTTGGGGAAGGGCTCCTTGGTCGTGTTGGAGGGTTTTTTCCCTCTCTCCTTTATTTCCTTTCTTTTTTTTTTTTTTTTAACATATCCTTTGTATTTGATTTTCGTGTTTGTGAGGTTGTGTCTTCTTTTGGCTACGATCTTGGTATCTAGCGCCTTTTGTGTTGGTCAGGATCCCAGCAGGAAACGAGTCCTGTGTTCTAGAAGGGCAGTTGAGGACGACCGGATGCGGGGGACTGTGGATGGCGTGTGGTCAGGGTGCAGGGACGTGACAGGACTGGTAACAGCAGTGGGAAACTGGTATCAGCCGCGGGCCAAGGAGAGGGTGTGGGCCTCGGAGCCCAGAGGTGAGGGCACGGGCAGGCAGGGGGCCTCCTCCTTCTCTCGCTCAGGCCTCCAGGTTGGCCAAACAAACCCAACGCCGGGAACAGAGGCCTGGATGGTGTGTGGTTTATAAGAGGGGTGGAAAGGCGTAGGAGGGGTGGAAAGTGGGTTTTGGGGGCAAACAGAACACCCAGTACACTCCGTCCAAAGGACAGGAACCCGAGGCAGAGGGAACGTCCCAGGGCCCTCGGATCCGTTTTCCCGTTGGCTGATAATCAGATGGCATTTTCCTCTCCTTCTGCCTTCTCCTGACTGTGGGCACCGTTGAGCCAGCCCTGTGTCCGTAGGCACGAGAGGGTCAGCCGAGGGGGATGAAATCATGAACTGCAGCGTGTGATTGATTTTGAACATGATTAGGTCTTCCTGTTAGCTGGGGGCTCCTACAAGTCCTTGTACCCCCTTCCTGTGCAGAGAAGCAGCTGGACCCTGCGTGCCCTGGAAAGCGCTGGCCTTGCTGTGTGGGGCGGGACCTTCCGTCCCACGGGCCTGCCGGGGTGAGGGGCGTCTTCCCCTGACCTCCAGCATCGGCCACAGTATGCTTGGCTCCCACACTGCTTCTCTTCTCAGCAATGCATCTGCCTCCCGGAGAGGCTTCCTGTCCTCCCTGACTGAAGAATCTAGAATTTCTTTCTTTTTTAAAAACTTTTATTTAAGTCCCCCTTAGTTAACATCTAGCGTAATAATGGTTTCAGGAGTAGAATTTAGCGATTCATCCCTTACATATAGCACCCGGTGCACATCCCAGCAAGTGCCCTCCCTAGTGCCCATCCCCCATTTGCCCTCCCCCCCCCCGCCCCCTGCTAGCCTGCCAGCAGCCCTCAGTTTGTTCTCTGTATCTCATGGTTTGTCTCCCTCTCGGTTTTTATCTTGCTTTTCCTTCCATTTCCTATGTCCGTCTGTTTGTTTCTTAAATTCCACATATGAGCAAAATCATATGGTTATTTGTCTTTCTCTGACTGACTTATTTCACTTAGCACAATACACTCTGCTTCCATCCACGTCGCTGCAAATGGCAGGCTTTCATTCTATTTCATCGCCGAGTAATACTCCACTGTCTATATTCACCACATTCTTCATTCATCCATCGATGGACATCTGGGCTCTTTCCATACTTTGGCTATTGTCGATAGCGCCGCTGTAAACATTGGGGTGAGTGCATGCGCCCCTTTGAATCAGCAGTCTTGTACCCTTTGCATAAATACCTAGTCGTGCAATCGCTGGGTCATAGGGTAGCTCTATTTTTAGTTTTTGGAGGGACCTCCACGCTGTTTTCCAGAGTGGCCGCCCCAGCTTGCATCGCCACCGACAGTGCAAAAGAGATCCTCTTTCTCCGCATCCTCGCCAACATCTGTGGTGGCCTGAGTTGTTCGTGCTAGCCTTTCTGACAGGTGTTAGGTGGTATTTCACTGAGGTTCGGATTTGCATTTCCCTGGTGATGAGTGATGCTGAGCATCTTTCCATGTGTCTGTTAGCCATCTGGATGTCCGAAGACGCTAGAAACTGTAAAGGTGTCCTGGTTTTCCAGCTTTTCTGCTCCGTGAAAAGTCCCTGCTTGGGCTCTGGAACGTTCATTTGGATAGAAGATGATGGCACAGTGAGTTTGGCCATCTGGCACCCCAGAGCCTCAGGGCCCCTCTGAAGGGTCTACACTCTGCCTGCTGAGGGCGGTCGGAACAGTTCTCCAGCACGTGTGGGTGGTTCTGCTCCTGGCTGCCAAGCGTCCCTTCCACATCCTGCTCCCTCCCTCACACATGCTCTACCCCCGACACGCACCCTCTGCCCCGCCATCTCTGGAGCCTTTCCCTTCCAGCAAATTGCGACCCTCCAGGATGAGTCGAAGCTTTCGCAGAGCCTTCAGAAAGCTGACGGCTCTCAGTCTGCCGGTAACCCACGCAGCCACAAGTCGCACGCACGCCTGTCCGCACGCGTGCGTATACCCGAGTGCCAAACAGAGAGATGCTTCATGTCCTCAAAAGTGGGGACAGGTTCCATAGGAGGATATTTTCAGGGAGCGATTATACAAGTAAATAAATGGATGCTTTGCCTTTCCTCTCCCCTCACCGACTGCCATGCCCCCAGACGGGCTTGTCATACACAGAAGGGGACTCGGGAAGTACATTTGGGGAGCGGAGAGATGCTGGCCGGTGGGCAGCCCGGCGGAGAGAGAAGTGGTTTTCCGGCATGGGTAGTTTTCACGCAGAGGTTGCTTTGGTGAGGCATGCGATGAAATATCCACGCGCCCCTGAGTTTGGGTAAACGCACACGGACCAGAGGTACGCTGGCTTTCTGAAGATGAGGGAGAGAGGGCAGTTTTCTGTACTGTGGCTTCGGAGGGGGTGAGTAGGACATGCTTCTGCAGCAGGCCTGATGGAGCAGGGAATACGCAGGCAGCGAAAGGACTCCTTTCTGCCCTTTTCCCCATCCCCCCTCTGCTCAAATGGAGCACCACAGTGGTGGGGGGGGGGGTGGTGTCCATTTTGCTACAGTGGCTCCAAATGGGGTTTTGAATATTTTATGAGCCCACAGAGTCAGCAAGGCGTGAGGGCCTGTGGCCGGCAGCCTCTTCAGCCCTCCCGTTCATAAGCGTAAGACGGGCAGGGCCAGGCGCCACGTCCACATGTGTCCAACAACAGAAAAACTGAAGGGGGCCACACTGAACCCTTCCAGTCTGTTGCTGTTTTAAATGGAATTCCAGGTAGCACTGATGGGAGGTGGAGAGGATAGCGTCCAAATCGCAGTTGCTAAGTATCGTCCTCCAGTCTGCCCTTGTCAGACCGTGGTCTGACGTCACCTGGGAACCTGTCGGCAACGCAGAAACTCCGGCCCTGCCCCAAACCCACTAAATCAGAATTCACCCGTCGGTAGGATCCCGGGTAACTAGTTTGTTCACTAAAGGTCCCAAAGCACCGGTGGAGAACGAGTTGGTACACTTTTTCTGCCAATGGCCAGACAGTCGGTACGTTAGACTGTGCAAGCCATACGGTCCCCGATGCGTCTTGTCGGTTTGGCGTTGGAGTCCAGGAGCAGCCGTTGACAATATGTGAGCGAGTGAGCATGGCGGGTCCCAATAAAACCTTAGTTACAACAGGTGGTGGGCCAGACTCCAGTGTAGTTTACCGGCCCCTCATCTAGGGCACTGGGGAGGGTTCTTGGAATCCTGTCGCTTCCCACAGTCTTCATTTCGATGAAATTCAGCCACACCCCCCAATTCACAGTTGAGCTTGACCTTGGACTTGGGGGAGACGTGTAGCAGATTCCTAGATTGAGCCAAAAGTCTCCTCCCAAAAGCTTTAGCTTTGAAAGACGCAAAACTTTGAGCACTCCTTGGAGCCCATTTTTGTTACCCCATTTCTTTCTACCTTAGAGTCTTGTCATTGAACACATCATAATAAGCATGTCATAAAGACATAGAAATAGATGAAGTAAGTGTGAACATCACCTCGGGAATCCCGCGTCTGGAAGGACGTGACGACGTGGAGGAGAGCCAGAGGCTGGGTGTCGGCCCCAAGGCCACAGGCGTCAGATTCACGTCAGGGGCGGATTTTAAAGAGAGATTGTTCGGCCCGGGATACGAGGAGGTTGTGGGCCAACCTGAGCACGGTCTGGAATACCTGCAGAAATAGTGTGTGTTTTCCTTTGTTTCTCACAGGGACAGAAGGCAGATCAATAGGCTCAGATAGAATGTAGGTAAATTTTGAGTCCGTGAGGGAAAGAACTTTTTAGCGGTTGGGGCTGCCCAGCAGGGGAGAGGTGTTTCCTGAAGACAGGTGGGCATGTCTAGCTAGAGGTCAGGGCCCCTGCTGGAGATCCCTCCCCCAAGTGAGAGTTTGCCCTGGGGACCTTCGGCCACTAATAATAATAATAATAATTATTATTATTATTACTATTATTGTAATAAGATGATTATAAATGTATTTAAAATATATAGAGAGATTAAATGTGTATCTTATAAATATATAAAATAAAAATTAAGTTACTTTTTATTTTTTTTATTTTTATTTAAAAAAAAAAGTTTTTTGGGGGGCACCTAGGTGGCTCAGTGGGTTAAAGTGTCCCACTTCAGCCCAGGTCTTGATCTGCCAGTTCGTGGGTTCGAGCCCCGCGTCGGGCTCTGTGCTGACAGCTCGGAGCCCGGAGCCTGCTTCGGATTCCGTGTCTCCCTCTCTCTCTGCCCCTCCCCCCACTCACGCTCTGTCTCTCTCTCTGTCTCTCTCTCTCTCAAATATAAGATTAATGGGGCGCCTGGGTGGCGTAGTCGGTTAAGCGTCCGACTTCAGCCAGGTCACGATCTCGCGGTCCGTGAGTTCGAGCCCCGCATCAGGCTCTGGGCTGATGGCTCGGAGCCTGGAGCCTGTTTCCGATTCTGTGTCTCCCTCTCTCTCTGCCCCTCCCCCGTTCATGCTCTGTCTCTCTCTGTCCCAAAAATAAATAAAAACGTTGAAAAAAAAATTAAAAAAAAAATAATAAGATTAAAAAAATTTTTTTTAAGTTTTTTTTTTTTTTAACGTTTATGTGTTTTTGAGAGAGAGAGAGGGAGACACAGAATCCGAAGCAGGCTCCGGGCTCCGAGCTGTCAGCACAGAACCCGGTGCGGGGCTCGAACTCACGGCCTGTGAGATCATGACCTGAGCTGAACGCAGACACTTAACCGACTGAGCCACCCAGGCGCCTCTTCAGTTACTTTTTCAAATTTCCATTTACTAAATACCTACTATATGTCAGGGCCTGTGCTAAGTGCCTTGCCTACGGCTTCTTACTGAGTTCTCCCCAAATCGCTGGTGTAAATATTGAAACTGCTACCCTTTTATAGATGAGGAGACCCAGGATCAGAAAGGAAACGTGACTTAGCCAGGGTCACGCAGCTGGTCAAAGGCAGAGACTAGGATTGAGCCCAAATCTGATGGCCCCCCCCCCCCGAGCTCAGCTTCTCTGCTCCCTCGTTTCTGGCAGGTGCTACACGAACCCCTGATTGACGAGGACCCTGTGTTCATCGCCACGTGCACAGAGCGGGAACTGCGAAAGAGGAAAAAGCGGAAATTCAGCCTCTGGGTCAGGCAGTGTTCTTCCACCGGCTTCATCATCCAGGTGAGCCCCGGGCCGGGCCCAGGGAGGCCAAGGGAAGATGGTTCTCGCGGTGACTGATGAGCCGGCTCACTCCCCCTCCTCGTGGGCCTTCCCCAGAAGCTCCGGCGGGGCTGCTCCCCCCTCACTGGGGCGGCCGGCACCTCCCTGCCTGCCCTTCCTGTCCTGTCCGGCCCTTCTGGTTCAGTTAACAGCAGCAAACACTGATCAAGGCTCGGGCCCTGACAGCGTCGGCCAGAGACTTCACCAAAAGAGTGGGGCACACGAGGTGACCGCCGTCTCTCTCGGGAAGCCACCGTGTGGTGGTCCCGGAAGCCCCCTCCCGCCCCCGACCTGCCAGGTGTCTGTCCTACTGCCCTGTATTGAGGAAGCCTTCTTCACAGGCCACCGACAGCCAGCGGCTTAAATTACGCTTGGTCAGGAGCGCGGGCGGCCCTTCGAGCCGGCATTGCCACCTGCTCCCTGGCTCTGCCGTGGTCCGGGCAGGTGCCGACACGGGTTTCAGAAGCGGTGGCCGAGCTCCACTACAGGGGAGGTGTGAGGTGTTCGCCTGCCGGGATCGGCCAGGGTACGGACTGCACAAAAGGAGGAGGTGGGGGCCGGCGAACACCGGATGTGGCACCCGAGGGACAGATCCCGGCTCCGGCTGGTTTCTCCGGCCGCGCGCTGTTCGGGATACCTTCTCCCAGCTGTCAGGCCTGCCGGCCCTGCGGTCACGGCTGACCCCACCTCGCTGCCCCTGCCTGGCTGCGGCCCCAGGCCCCAGGCAGAGGGGTCTTGCCCTCCCTTCTCCCCCTGAGCCAGAGGAGGATTCATGGGAAGATTCAGTTGAGCATCCCTTTGTCCCAGCAGGGAAAGTGCATGTGCTTCAGGCCAACATATCTGCTCAGAAGGACCATCCTAGTCTCCCTGCGGGCTCGGGGGACCCTCAGCTCAGCCTGGGGCTGGGATCTCCAGCTGGACCCCAGACCCGAGTGGGCTTGAGCACAGGCTTCGGGCAGTTGCCATAATGGACCTGTCCCACAGCAGGATTTACTCTGGATGTGCAGCCTGGGCCCTCTGTCCCTGCACAGCCTCTGGTGGCCCGTGCCACCTCAGTAGTGTCCTTTGCAGTGAGGCTCCCTGGGGACAAGGGAGGGAGGTTCACTCTGTGCAACCCCTCCTCGGGAACATTCAGTTCTTTGAATACATACTTCCCGAGAACCTGTTATCTGTAGCACTGGGCCAAGCACTGGGACGTGGAGGCCCAGTCCTGCCTTCTCAGAGATCTGGCACATTCGGCACTGTGTCTCCAAGCTCATCACACTCCCCCTGGGCAGCTTGGCTCCAGTCTCCAGCCGCTGGGTCTGTGGAGCCCCAGTTACAGCCGAGTGGTCAGGACAGTGGCTGTGCTTCGTAATCCTCGGCCCCACTGCCGTCTGTCTGCATTCCAGGCGGAAGCGGCACTTTCCGGCACTTGTACGGCTCCCAGGGCGGTCTGTCGTCAGCTCTGCAGGGTGCGAGGTGCCGGGGCGGGGGTGGTGGGGGGGGGAGGGTGCCCACTCTACCTCACTCCCTTCCTGACTCCGGCCTTTCTGGTTTTACCCCCTGACATCAGCAGGGCTCAGAGGTCGTGATGATTCATTTTATGTGTCCGTTTGGCCAGGCCACAGTACGGAGATATGTGGCCCAACACTATTCTTGATGTTTCTGTGAAGGTGTGTTTTGGATGAGATTAACAGATGGGTAGACCCTTGAGTAAAGTAGATAACTCTCTGTAAGGGGTGGGCCTCATCTAATCAGTCAAAGGCCTTAACGCGGGGCGGCGGTGGGGGGGGGGGGGGACCTGACCTACATTAAAGAAGAGGGAAATCTGCCAAAAAAGTGCCTTTGGATTTGACCTGCAACTTTTTCCTGGGTCTTCTGGCTCACCAGCCTGTACTACTGGACTTACCATGCCTCTGTAATCATGTGAGCCAATTCCTTAAAATAAATACCCATCTCTCTTAATAGAGAGAAGTGATACACACACACGCGCGCACACACACACACACACACACACACACGCGCACACACACCCCTACCTCCAACTGGTTGTACTGCCGAGGGTTTTCCTGCAGTCCCCCTGGCGTAGAGGTGAACGTTCTAGTCGGAGAGACAGATGCTTTAAAACCACTCGTAAATACAGTGTGACAGGTGCAGCATTAGAAATGTGCGTACAACGTTTTGGGGGCCACGGCAGGGCACCTGGGGGCCAGGAAAGGCTCCCCGAGGCGGACAGAGCAGGGCGTGTGATGTGCCCGCGCAGAAGGCAGCGGGTAGAAGGGCTGGGGCAGGAGCCAATGTCACTCACCGCAGGCCTGGCCCTGAGGGGCGCCCGCTGAGCCTAATACGACACTCTGAGCAGTACACGCGGGAAGACCCAAGCTCCCAGACAGTAAGTCGTTTGCCCCAAGACCCAAGGCTGAGAGGCAGTGGAGCAGAAACTAGAGCCAGAGGGCTGGCGGTCCACCCGCACTGTGGCCTGTCTGGAGCCCGCGTCCTGCTCCCCAGGGCCCTCTGAGGAAGGGAGGAAGAGAGAACAGCCCGGCACGGGGCGTTCTCTTCCCTCACATACGGGTGTCTAAATGGAAAGGATTTCCGTGACTCCCCTCTCGAGCGCCCATTTCATCTCTGCAGCGGACACCCGTCGAGGCTAAGGGAGGCTCGTTTTCTCCCTCGCGAGCCCGCACCCCGGCACGTACTCCAGCAGTCTCGTGGAGGATCCGGAGGCTTTTCGACTCCAGGTTTCAAGAGCAGTGGAAGGAGCAGGCAGGGATCGTTTATAAAGCGAGATCCCGAAAATCCTGACACATAACTGCCCCTGGGGTCCCAGACACGTAACCACAAGAGACCGCAGCGAATGCCTTCTTTTTTCAGTACAGCCACCGCCGTTTCCAGGTTAGAGGCTTATGGGGCGCTCCAGGGTGTATACTCTGTGTCCCGTGTCGCAGGCCGGCCAAGAACTGTCCCCAGCCCCAACACGCCCTCTAGCCGAGGCCGTTTGCAGAGGGTCTCTAAGAAAGGGCTCCAGCCAAGGGGACGGGCCCCACTTACCCTTCGTGTGCACCCTCCCTGTGAGCGGGGGAGACTGAGGAGATTCGTGCAGACGATGAGACTTCCAGTTTCAGGGGACAGTCAGTCCTGTCATTGAGAGGTTGGAATTCCTTAGTCTGAGACATTAAGTTAGCTCCTCTTGGAAGCCTTGCGGCCTTTCTGTGGGGTCAGAAGGAGACTGTCTGTGCAGAGTGTTGTTCTGTCTACTCCGTCAGAAGGATTGGGAATCCAACGGGGAAAAAAACTGGCCAACGCTTCAGTTAATGTTATATTGACCCGTGAGATTCTTTGAGGAAAGCAAGGGTCTACTAATTAAAAAACAAACAAACAAACAAACAAAAAACGGTAGGGGCGCCTGGGTGGCTCAGTCGGCTGAGCATCCGGCTTCGGCTCGGGTCATGATCTCACAGTTCGTGAGTTCGAGCCCCGCGTCGGGCTCTGTGCTGACAGCCTGGAGCCTGGAGCCTGTTTCGGATTCTGTGTCTCTCTCTCTCTGCTCCTGCCCTGCTCATGCTCTGTCTCTGTCTCTCAAAATAAATAAATAAACATTTAAAAAAATTAAAAAAAAATGGTATAGTCACAAAGAGCAGATTTCCTTTGTTTGAATGTGTTGATCTAGCCGCCTGCCTCTGCAGTGTGAGACCTGGCGTTCCCCGTGAGGATGTTGGCAGGCAGGAGAGCCCCAAGAAGGGGGCGGCAGGGCACCAAATGCCTGCCGAGTGCGCCGTCTGTGAGCTTTAAGGGACACAGGGATGCTCTGCCCAAAGTGGAGAGGCCAGACAGTCCCCAGGGGGTTGAATGACTGCCGTGTTGAGCAGGGACAGAGCCGTTCTAAATGACAAGCCGCCGTCTCCTGCTGAGTGAACTAACATTCACTGGAGGTGGACGGGCTTTAGAAGCCAGAATTCAAGATAGAATCTCCCAGAAGAAAGGACCCCTGGTTCCCACCCCCTGTATGTCTCTAAACGTGTCCAGGCAGCGCCCCGATGCGCATCGGTGAGGGGTGCTCGGAAGGAGGTCCTCTACCCTGTGTTGTTGGACCAGCTGATCTGAAAGTGTCTCTCCTCCCTTCAGCCCGATGTGTGGATTCACGATGATGGCCACCGCGGGGCTTCCGGAAAGGGTACTTTGCTTCGGTGCCAGGCTCTCTGCCCAGGCCCTTTATCGGCTTTACTTGCTTTCTCTTCACCACAAACTTACGACTCAGGCAGTGTTCCTGCCCCTTCCACGGTGAGGAACTGAGGCACAGGGAGGGAAGCTACCTCGCCCAAGGGGTCAGCCATAGAGCGCTAGACCTGGGATTAAACCCGGCCTTTCCGGCCCCAGACCCCACCTTCTTAACCACCAGGCTGCCTGGGGGAATTTTCTCACGTGAGACAAAAACCTCGCATCTCTTCTCTTACCCAGCTTGCTTGTTGTTTCATTGATGGTTTTAGCATCAACTGTCCCCCATCTCCCTTAGTTTGAGACCTGCTTTTCATGTGGAAAGGACTTGAGGAACTTGCAGGAAGGGGTGTCTCTTCTGATTTGATTTTTAGTCTTTTAACAGGATTCGCTCGAAATGCCAGGATCAGAGTGGGATTAATTAACCGGAGTGGATTTTGCTTCTGGAGTCCAAAACCGGGCAGCACAGGGCCCTCGTCCATCTGTCTCCTTGTGCGCGCTGGGGACGCGCTCTTCCGTCCTGGCCACCTTGGAGGTGGTTATGTCACAGGGTGGAATTGGCTGGGGTGCGAGACATCTGTCACATCATCTCTGAGTGTCCTTGAGCAAGTGGCTGAGAATCATCTCCTCCTCAGTCTTCCTGAGTGGGGTTACTTTGCCCTGCCCTCCTCTCCGTGTAGGGGTTCAGAGGTGACAGTAAATATCCAGTGGCCCTATACGTGCATTAGGCACTGACTGGACCAGACTGAACCCTGGCTTTCTCC